GTAAATAATTATATTTTGTCTTCATTTAAATAGTTTTCATGCATACACATATATTTAACAGCTTATATTTAAATTACAAAATTATTATCATTATGAGCTATTAAAATTAAAATGTGTAGTGTTTACCGTTTTTTGCTGGCTTGTGGGACGTAACATAAAACTGATGATTTCTAAGAATTAATTAAAGCAATATGTGTATAAAATTGTATAAAACATGTGTATAAAACAGTGCCCACCTATTATGACATAATAAATAAAATAGGTTAGGTTCAACTTATGTCAAGGAACTGAATTAATAGACCCCGACTCCATGTGGTACGAGTCTGTCCTACCCCTAGAGTGGTTTTATAGAGCCGGAGGCGCGTAGGGAGAGCAGCCTCCGCCTGCTGTAACAAATCGTAGGCATCGGACGAGCCGGAGCGGAGAAGCCGAAGCTGCGGAGGCGAGGCTGGATACCTGCGATTTGTTACGCAAAGGCGTAGAGGCTGCTCTTCCCGCAGCGCCGGAGACGTTGCAGTCTCAAAATAGATACAGAAATCCCTCTGAATGAGTCCCTCTATTTATTTTTGGTGAAGGGGTTCCCCCTTCCCCCCCCCCCCCCCCCCAAGAGGTCCCCATGGTTTTTTACACTTAATATTTATGCATAAAAAATAAAATTTCCTCAGAATTAAAATTCAAAAAACTCAAAAAGGGGGGGCTCCGCAACTTTTCCTTTTAAGGGGGGAGTAGTACACCTCCCCCCGCCCTCCCACCACCCCCCTCCAACCTCCAATTCGACGGACGTCAATGGAAAGTCGTACCGGGCCATCCATTAATCACGTGAGGCTTGAAAGGGAGGGAGGGGGTTTGACTAAAATCACGAAATATCATAAAGGGGGATGGGGGGTGTAGTAAAATATCACGTGTATTTATTTTTTGTCAAACGCGCGATTTCTAAACCGAAAAGCAGCGGGTGGTGTGACCTTGACTTGCCAGGTAAAGAACGAAGTACTCCCGCCGACAACCGCCCGGCTCGGCACGCCAGTCGCCAGGTATTCTGTTGTTTTGGCTCCGAATACACGCGTAAACCGTTACCCTTGTACGTTTTGCATTAAAACAATGTTTAAAGTAGGTGATCTGTATAAAGACCTTTTTGCGGAGTATAAGAAAGGAAAAAAACCTGGTATAGCTCAGAAAGAATTTAATGAGTTGTAGGCTGATGCGAAACAAAAATATACTACAAAAGAAGAATTTATGAAGTGGGCGAATGATCTTTTACTAGATTACCGCCGAAAGCACCAAGCAAAGAAGTCTTCCAATATTCTCTATTATTGTTCTAATTCTAAAATGGTAAGTTAAAACTAATAGGTATCTATTTAAGGGCATTGTCCTAATAAATAAGACTTCACCTATAGTTTATTTGCAGTATAACTGTTATTGTTAAATCTTACAACATTTTTGATACTTAGAGAAAATAAATACATATAGATAAAATATGCATAGCGTATCTACTTTAAGTGTTACTAACTTAATTCCAAAATATATTATTTTATTTTTCTAATAAAAATGTTATTCAAATAATCTCTTAAGTATAAGCATCACGTGGTCCCATATGCCTACATATCACGCGTATAGGCGTATTGAGCTGAACCTCGTTTACGAGGTATGGGTTTATTTTTTTTTATTTACAACAACTAAAATACATTCTAAACAAAGTTCATAAATACAGTGCAACATAAACCTATATAAGATTTTTCTGCACACTGCAGTTCGCCGTCTTTCAAGCGCAAACATTTTAATATTATTTAGAGTAAGAAGGTAGTTCGCTCATTTCTATACAAATAACATGAGGATGAGTTGTAGTGGCTATTTAGTTAGAGTAGTATACAGGATGTTTGGAGAAGATATTATTTTATATTTTTGGAATATACATATGGTAATTATATTACATATAGTAAGTATGTTAGTTTTTAGTTATATCATGTTAGTTGATTCAAAAAGTATGTTTTTAATTTGTATTTAATATTTTTGGGATTGATATTTTCCTTCAAGGTTTTAGGTAGTTTATTAATTAATTTAGGAATAGTAATCTTATTTTGATGATCGCCATACATATTATGAGTTTTAGCTATAATTAATTTAGGGTTATATATACTACTAAGCTGATGTTTGTACGTAGGTATGACTTGTAATTTTGTATTAAAGAACTGTTCTACGAGTAAAATAAGTTTTAATTTTTTTTCTATTGGCAAGATACCACAGTATTTAAATAATTGGTTGTAATTGTCCTTATATTGTTGTTTGATTTTAGGGGGGACAATTGTTTTGATGATTCTAAGTTGTAATTCATGGATTCTACAGAGATGCGATTTCCAGGTTCTACCATAGCTACTTAATCCGTATTGTATTATTGATTCGGCCAGAGCCTTATAAAGGGACAATAGTGTAGGAAAGGGAACTTTATACCTAACGATAGAAAATTTGGCAAGTATGGCCCTTAACTTATCACACACTTTATTAATATGGTGCGTCCATTTAAATCGACTGTCTATTATGAGTCCAAGGTAAGGTTGTTGTTCTACTAATTCAATATGAGTACAATTACAAGTCTGGTTAGACATGTTATTATGGAGACATAGGTGGCTGTGGGCAACGAGTTTTAAAGGAACAGATACTCTATTATGACTGGATGAAATGTACATCATTTTTGTTTTAGTGGCATTCAGTACAAGCCCCGCATCGTGAGACCATTTCATAAGGTTAGTGAAATCTTCTTGCAATTTCTGTAATGCCACATATATGTCGTTTTTCGCCGCTAGTATGCAGGTATCGTCTGCAAACTGATATATCTTGCAGTTTTTAATTACATTGGCAACATTATTAACATAGGTCAAGTAATGCAAAGGCCCAAGCACAGATCCCTGTGCAGTACCATGAGTGACTGTTTTCTTTGTACTTGTAGCATTTCCTACTTTAACTCTATATGCTCTCTCTTTAACATAGTCTTTGCACCAATTTAAAAGGGGTCCTCGCAGTCCACATTCATCAAGCCTTTCAATCAGTAAGTCATGTCTAAGGGTGTCGAAGGCTTTACTATAGTCAATGAAAAGAACTAGAACATGTTTTTTATTATCAAGATAGTGGTTTACGTCGTCAGTAAAAGAAGATAAAAGTTGAGTGGTACTTTTATGCTGCTGAAAACCATACTGACTTTTATTTAAAATCGAGTGTTGACTATAGAAATTATTTATTTGTTTACTTATATATTTTTCAATTATTTTGTCTAGTGTAGGTAATATTGTTATTGGGCGATAATTGTCGTAATCCGTTTTGCTACCTTTTTTTATGTACGGGTCTTACAATTCCAGTTTTTAATTCAGTAGGGTACTTGCCTTTTTCTATACACGCATTTATTAGGTCGGCTATAGTTACCGATATTTTGTCCGCAATGGATATTAAGTCTATTGCTCGTATGTTGTCTATACCTGGTGCTTTGTTCGTTTGAATGTTTTTTATTATTTTAGCTACTGAGCTTGGAGTAGCCTTTTGATATCGAAATGTTACGTTTACAGGCAATCTGTACAAGTTTATTTGTAAAAGGGGTCGATTGCAGGACGGTACAATGCTTGAAACATTTTTCTGAAAGGCCTGAGCGAAATTATTAGCGATATCAAGTGGCGTCACTTTTTCATTTTGAAATGAATTTAAAATTATATTATCGATGGAAGGACTTGTCCGTCCCGTGATCTTATTTAGTATTTGCCAAAGTCTCATCTGGTTATATTTATTATTATGTATATCCATTTTGATGTACCAATTTTTCAGCTTGTTAGTCGAATTTCGTATTTTATTATATATTTGTTTAGTAATCATATTGTCTGTATTTTTTAACCACAAAGAATACCAATAGTCCCTATTCTCACATGCCCTTTTAGTTCTTTCATTAATCCATTTATTTTCTGTCCTCGTTAATGTTCTATTTTTTTCCGAATTGTTGTTAAGGCATCATTGTAGCATCTATTGAAATTGTCTTTAATGAATTTGTATATTTCAATGGGGCAACTAATACCTTTAGTTGATTCCCAATCTATTTTATTTAATAAGGTAGAAACTTTTTTTGTGGTCAATATATGTTTTAAATTTAGGAGCCGCCTCTATATAGTGCTGAGATCCAACACAAGCGAATATCGTCGCACAGTGGTCCGCTAGTACGGTTCTAAGTGTCGCAGTGTATACGTCTTGTGAATGGGACCGTGCTAATATATGGTCAATACACGATTTACTAATTATGTTATTTTTTAATTCAATTCTAGTATATTCCGAGATCCCACTCACAAGTCCGTACGTCGAGAACATTGTTGTGTATTTATGTTTTATAGGTGTTTCCACAGCGACGTCGATGTTTAAATCGCCTATTATAAAAAAGTCTTCGCGTTTATTAATTTTGTCGCATGATTGCTGCAATTCGTTTATAAATAGGTGTTTGCTTAAGTTAGGCGGACGGTATATAGCGAGTAGATTGCAAGTGTAATTCGTAGGTGTGATTATTTTTGTTAGTAATCCCTCAAAATATAAAGTTTTTGTTATCGTAGTCGACAATTTATGTTTTTTATGTACGTAAATAATAACTCCGCCTCCCTTTCTGTCTTTTCTTAGGTTTACGTGAGTGTTATAGTTCTTTAGTTGGAAAAGATCGATTAAATGTTCTGGGACATTCACTTCTGATAGAATAATTAAATCAATACTAATTGGACAAGTGACTATAATGTGTTCTAAACTAGAAAAGTATGAAATTATTGACCTTATGTTAAATGGATAAACGTTAGATTAGTTTTGTGGGGAATATTATGAATAAAGTCAGTTAGGTTTGTACAGTTTTTCAATTCAGTTACGTTATTAGGTAAATTCATTATTATTATTCTGAATATGCGGAAATGTTTTTGAGCTTAAAAAAATTTAGAAAAAAGAGAATATGCGTTGATATATAAATATACAGTCAATACTTTTAGCGAATTACCTACTTAGGCTCTAACTAGTCTGACGATATCTTCTTCGCGACGGATTATGATGATGTCACCTTTTTCTTCTTTTCGTGCTCGGATGATACCTCGTTTACACCATACGTATTTGTAGGATGGTTTTAACTTTTGTTTCGCCTCCCATAGTAATTTCCTGTTATAATAGTAAGATAGAGCTTCACGTATGTAAATAAGTTGTTTCCCTGTCGCCTCTGACAAGTTATCCATGATATCATGAGCATATAGCTTTGAGTTTTTCGCTGCTGTGATCCATTTTGTTGATGTTGTTTCATTTTTAAATGTAATTTCAATATTTCCCGGCTTTTCTTTTTTTCCTGGTACACGTTTAGTAGTGTCAATATCATCAACAGAGATTGATAATTTATCTGCAATTTTTTTGACAATGTCGCTTACTATTTCCATGTTATTATGAGGGATATTTAATATTTCAATTTGTTTGTTTAGCTGTGACTGTTCAATATCCTTCAAACGACAAAACTTGCTCTAGTGCACCAACGCGCGTTTCTAAATAACTATTTTTGTTTGAGAGTTCTACATTTTTCTTCTGTAGTTCTTTCATTGTTAATTTTAAGGCATCTATAGATACTGTCATCTCCTCCATTTTATCGCTTTGATGTTGTAGAGATTTGACTATGTCTCGTAGTTCTCTTTGAAGAGCTTTTTCCATCTCTTTTGATATATCTTTCAATAACCGCTTGATATCAATTTGTACGTTTTTGGAATATTTTCCTGTATCTTGAGCATTATCTTCTTCTTCCTCTTCGTCTTCATCACCGGGAACGTATATAGAGCTACGTCTCGGGGAATGTTCAAGACAATCTTGGCATGTCCATCCTAGATTCTCAGCGGCCTTTAGTGCATTCTTTTGCTTGTTAGTAAGACCAGAGCAGTTCCCATTTAAGTGAACTATTTTCTTGCACTGGTTACATTCTATTCCAGGATTACTTTTGGTTGTATTTTTTCCACATTTATCACATTTTGTCATGTTGAGGGTAGATTAATACTTAGCTTGAGGAACTAACTTAACGTGCTTTTAGATCAAATGAACGACGACGAATGATATTAAACGTAAAAAACAAAGTAAAACATAAGTCGTGGTGGTTGTAAAGTGAAGATTATATTACTCGTACTTACTATTCTAACACATTTGGCGTTTTTTTTTTATATATTAATATCTTGTCACCTTGTGAAAACCTACAATATTTTTATTACTATTCATAGTTCATATTGAACGGAGAGATTCACTAATGAACGATGGCAGCATTATCTTGCATATAAATACTAATTACATACCCATTATTCTAGTGAAAATATTGTGTATGGTTTGTGTGCCGCTTTGAATTCTTATTTTAATATCAGAAAAAATAAAATTACTGGAGAAGGTTAATTTACTTGCACGATATTGTCTTGCAAGATAATAATTAAGATCTTAAATTTTTTAGAATGCCAGCGAAAACATTCCTATTTCGTCAATGACATCCAATGAGCCAAGTCTACCTGTAAAACTTACGCCTACGATATGCGTCTCACCGATCTGTGCAGAAATTACTGACGAAGGCAATGATACAGTACATAAAAGTACCTCAACAGGTAGTAAACATCCTAAATATATTACGAATTCATGATAAAGAGAAATTTAATATCAGCATTAATTTATAAATAGATATTTAATCATTCCAGGGGCTCGGAAACGTAATTGTCAAGATTTGGAGTGTAGCGACGAGAATTCACCGGATACACCAAGTGCAAGCAGCTCTATACCGCAGCCTGTACGTGCTACTCCTGCACAGGATAAGTTGAAGAATCAGATTCCCTTCTTCAAATGGAACTTGACTTAGCTGTTCGTCGTAGGGATTCTCTGTGCGTCAGTGAAAATGAGACGCGTGATGTAACGAAACTGCGCCGAGAAATTGATAAATGCACAAAAGAACTACGGAAGAAGAAGCAACATATGCGTCACTCCCAGTCACATAGATTATCAATAAAATCAAAGATTGAACTTGCTTGCAATCAGAGTCCGAATGTAACTAATCTTCTTAAGGCGCGTTCTGCCGCAGGTCGCCCACGCCTGGAAGAGCAACAACCGCAATTGCTAAAAACTATCGTCGATTTGGCTATGTTTGGTGCTTCTGCGGAGGAACGGCGTCGCTCAGAAATTGTTCGCAGTTGCCGAACACTTACTGATCTCCATGAGAAGCTAAAGGAGCACGGATTTCAAATTTCGAAGAGTGGCACGTACCTTCGGTTGCTCCCAAGAAATTATACCACCTTGGAGGGCAAAAGGCATGTAGTCACTGTGCCTGTCAAATTGAGTCGCCCTGAGGCAGATCACCATAAGGCTCACGTCGATCAACATTTTTGTGTCGCTATAATAAGATCCATGGAAACGCTGGAATCTATTCTCGGGCCAAAACAAGTGCTTTTTCTGTCGCAAGATGATAAAGCCCGGGTACCTATAGGTTTGACAGCGGCAAATAAACAAGCTCCGCTCCTGATGCATGTCGAATATCGTGTTTCATTGCCTGATCATAATTGGATGATTGCTGCAAGGCATAAATTAATCCCTAGTGTATATGCTGGGTGCATCATAAAAGGAAATGATATGGGCCGTGCTGAAGCAATTACGTACTCAGGGCCAACATATGTGGCGATTAGAAGTGGCAAACATTCCTCTTCGACAGCTTCTACTCATGCTGTGGACTTCAATCAGCTTGCTACTCTCAACAATTTCAAGGAAATTATGCGGGATGAAGAGGGATGCTGCATCCTTCTTCATCCCGCATAATTTCCTTTTTGTTTTGATTGACCAGTTGTTTTGATTTCATCTGATGGAGGACCCGACGAAAACCCGAGATATCCAAAAGTTATTTCTCATGCCATACACCACTTTGTCAAGCATGATCTAGATGCAATATTCATCTTTACGAATGCACCTGGCAGAAGCGCGTTCAACCGTATTGAGAGAAGAATGGCGCCTCTAAGCCGGGAATTATCTGGACTCATACTTCCGCATGATTCTTATGGAAGTCATTTGGTTGAACAAGGGAGAACAAAAGATTATGATCTTGAAAAAATGAACTTTCAGAAAGCTGGAAAAGTTCTCGCAGAAGTATGGGATAATATGGTTATCGACGGCCATGACGTCGTAGCAGAGTGTGTCGAGCCCGATGACAGTTCTGAAAGCTTTATTCCAGACCTGCCTTCTCCGCAGTGGTATAGCGAGCATGTGCGAGAGAGCCAGTATTTGCTTTAGGTACATTAGTAAAATCTCGCTTATTATTATTTTATTATTTATTCTTCTTATCTAATACGACAATACAATTAAAATATCTTAATATCATTACCAGGTGGTGAAGTGTGATGACCGCGCTTGCTGTGGACATTTGCGGAGTTCTCTTCGATCTATTCTTTCGGAGCGCTTCGTTATACCTCCTTACCCAATTTTACAGCCATCTAGTGGCCTATGTATTCCAAAGCCGCAAGAGCATGATGGCAAGACCTTTGCTACATTTCTTCTGCGTCGGTCTCTTGGAATCACCCCAACGCATGAGGGCTTTAAAAATTGCCTTATGACTTGTATTGTCCTAGTCTGCAGAAGGATCGTCAGCAACTCTTGGAAAGGACGTGCCAGCGGTGTGGATTGTATTTCTGCACAAAGAAGAAAGTTAAGGAACATGTAAATTCATGTCACGAGCAACTTAATCCCAGCAATAATAGTCTAGAGATGCAAAATGTGTGTCCTTCACGCGTCCTCACGCGACGATCGATCGGTAAATCGAGAGAGATTCTCTGCATTGTGCGCGAAAATGATGACACCGAGTGGCTTGATGAAACCAACGTTGATCTTCAACAAAGCACAGTTCCAATAACTAACCTGCAAGATGCTTATCCAATTGTTAGTGTTGAAGATTGTCTTGCTTATCCGTGATCCGAGGATTAATATACACTAAATATGTTCACTATATGTTTTCCGCATGATTACGCCACTCGTTTATTATTATTTTTATGCCAATTAAAAATAACCTACAACCTTTGTGTCTAGACATTTTTATCATGGTCCTTAATTTCAGAATGAAATAAGATTATACTTTATGCTTGTATTTAAAGATAATATTCTAAAAATTTTAAGATTCCTTGTAGGTACTAAAAATATACGTGATGTTGGGGGTGGGAGGGGGGGATAGTCTTAAACCTCACCACGTATCACCAAGGGGGAGGGGGGGGTTAAAAAAATTCCAAAAAAAAAAGATCACGTGATTAATGGACGGGCCCAAGGAGTACAGGCTCTGTATTAAAAAGTGTCCGTAGGAAAGTGCTAAATAAGGGGACGCTACTGTAGCTACAGTCTAAATTTTAAAGAACTATTATAAATTTTTTATTGCTCAGATTAGCACCATAATTCTTTTTACAAAAATTATTTAATTTCTTTCAAAATTTTTATTTTCAAAATCACTCAACGTATTTTACGGCGATTTATCATACCCTGTAGCTAATCGAGCGCTGTTGTGGAGAGTTTATGAACTGTTATTTACTGCTTACAGATGGACACATTTTCAATGTTCAAAATTCAAAATTCTCCTTTGGGAGATTGTCTTCCTTAACTCTATACTTCATGGCTTTGATGTTGATATAAACCTCAAGTTGTTTTGATCGCTTGGGTGTCTTATCACAGAATAAATAATAGTACTACGTACAGAAGTTGCACTCCTTTGATGTCAACTGCTTGCCGACGTTTAATAGCCTACATAATTATTATTAATCAGATAAATCGCGCACGCAAGCTAAATAAAACTTTATCGCTGCGCGTTAGTTTCCATACTACTTTGCATCATTTCCGCTTCCTAATTCACGGTGGACTTTCCGTGGTTATCAAGGGATGTCAATAGAACGTAAAAAAATACTTTACGAAATGTTAATTATGTTACTTAGGTGAAGTACCTATTCTGACTATGATCGACTGACTATACTTTCGTCCCTATGTGAGTCAATAATTCCTATAAAACATTAATAGTTCCTATAAAACATCTTTGATGTGAGTATTGCGATGCCTAACGCATGCAAATTGCAAGGTCATTCGTCGGGAATCGCAACGCTTGGTTCGGGAGAAATAGGTAGATAGTGTGAACAACAAATAAATACGATTCCTAACAGAAATGTGATCTATTCTACTTACTTAAAAATCTTCTTAGTATACAACGTTTTAATGTCAGTATTTTGTGTTATTATAACTTAAAATATTTTAATTACAAAATACAAGTATAGGTATGTATATGTAAGTAAATGGATGGATAGTGAAGTAAATTTTAACTAATTTTTGTAATAAAAGGTATTTCTTGTGTAGACCAAATTATTACTTAATTCTTTTTTGTTGTAAGTACTTATCTAACAAAAAAAAATTAACCTTTCATAATTTCCTTCTAAAATTCTTCGGTAACTTAAAGAATGATATGAAATCTTTTGTTGGTCATTTCATTTAGTATACATCCACGCAACAGTTATAGTAGGAACGACGTTTTGCTATTATAATTTATCAAATAGGTAATATACATAATATATAATTTTTAAAATAAATTAAAACTTTTACAACTATTTTTACCTACAGTTAAATATACTAAACACTAAACAAAAACTATTTCAACAAGTATTTACATAAAACTATTTACGTAAACAACGTTAAAATTTTTAAGCTATTGCATAGCTTCTACCGCGGGCCTTCAGCGGGGGACGGAATCCAGAAATTCATTCCGTAACGAAAAAACCTCACGCTCCCCACTCCAACGGGCACGGAGGTGTAGCTTGAAGGCCGTGCATCGACTAATGTCGTTTCAGTTCGGCAGACTTCGGCACTCGGCAGACTTCGGCACGGTGTTTGTGTGCGTGCGACTAGACGTATGCGTGTACACTAGCTGCTAACTCAATGATAAAAATTCCTGAATAACCTACATGTATTGTAAAATATTAAAAATATTTTAAACAATATTAACTTTTCATTTATTCAATAATTATTTATGTAATCTAAGTATCCTGTTTACTCCAAAGAATACAGTTTTAATTTTTTTTTATTGGATAGATTGGCAAACGAGCACACAGTCCACCTGATGGTAAGTGGTTGCTGCAGCCCATAGACATCTACATCTATCATCGATTACAAATCAAAATGCAGATGCGTTGTTACCCGTGAGGACTAAGATGGAATGCCTCATTTCCAGTAAAAAGGGTCTTCGGTTCTCTACACTCACCATACGAAACACAGCAGCATTAAGACACTATTTCACACTGGTATTCTGTGAGAGCGTGTTCCTTCCTCGGTCGAGCCTGCCCATTAGTGCTACAACTATACTACTAATATAACTGCAGCATGGATCTACCATGTATAAACTATATACACTTAACTACTCAAAATAGTCTCATATTTTGCTTGTAAGTGGACAAGACATTGTTATACTTAATAAGTTTAATTAGTTCTACATAATGTCAAACATTAAACGTGAACTAATTTCTTTAAAAAAATGTACAACAAGTTATATATAATTATATATCAATTGGATTTAGCCAGCTAGAAAATGAAATCATGTCGTGTTTACGCCATCTAGCGTATTTTTAGCATACCACCTTGAAAGTTAATCGATGTTTGTTCGATAAAATCATTTTACGTATAAAATGCAGTAGATGGCGATATAACAAATTATTATTTTACTTGTGTACTCCAAAGAATACAGTTTTAATTTATTACACTTAAATTCTCAAAATACTCCCATATTATGCTTGTAAGCGGACAAGACATTGTTATACTTAATAGGTATAATTAGTTCTACACAATGTCCAACACTAAATTTGAACTAATTTCTTTAAAAAATGTACAGTACCTACCTAATATCTAAGCATCGAAGTAATATTTTATGTTACATTACTTTTTATACACAAAAACAGTTCAAACTTAAAAAACTATCATAAAACTAATAAAATTATATTTATGTAAACTAAGTATCCATAAAATCTCATAATATAAGAAGTGACATATAAGTCTATATCAATAGGATATAAATGCCTATATCCATAAATGTGTATTATGCCATCCTTAAAATCCGATAACATAACAAGTTACATACAAGTATATATCAATAGGATTTAGCCTGCGAGAAAATGAAATCGTGTCGTGTTTGCGCCATCTAGCGTATTTTTTGCATACCACCTTGAAAGTTAATCAATGTCTGTTCGATAAAATCATTTTACGTATAAAATGCAGTAGATGGCGATATAATGAATTATTATTTTACTGTTTACTCTAAAGAATACAGTTTTAATTTATTACACTTAACTTCTCAAAATAGTCTTATATTATGCTTGTAAGCGTACGAGACATTGTTATACTTAATAGGTTTAATTAGTTCTACACAATGTCCATTCTGTACTATTTCACGCTGGTATTTTATGAGAGCGTGGTCCTTTCTCGGTCGAGCCTGCCCATTAGCGCTACGACTATACTACTAATATAACTGGAGCATGGCTCTACCACATATAAAACTATATATACACTTAACTTCGCAAAATAGTCCCATATTATGCTTGTAATCGGACGAGACATTGTTATACTTAATAGGTTTAATTAGTTCTACACAAGGTCAAACACTAAACTTGAATTAATCTCTTTAAAAAATGTACAGTATCTACCTAATATCTACGCATCTATATAATATTTTTTGTTACATTACTTTTTATACACAAAAACAGTTCAAACTTAAAAACCTATCATAAAACGAAAAAATAATTGTTTATGTAATCTAA